AAAAAAAAAAAAAAAAACCAGCTCATGTTCCATAGATCACAGACCAAAAACAATGCCTTATATATGAGTCTTGATAAATGTTTCTTAAAAAAAAAAACTACATGATATAGGATGTATATAGACAACTTTTTAAGGAAGACAGTATTCAAAAGAAACCTTTCATGGTCTCAAATATGAAAAACTTTAGAAAGCACGGGCCCACACTTTTACTAAATTAGCACTTCAGGAAGCTGCAGGTGACTAAGGCCTACTCCTCTGACCGGTCAACCATGCCTTCATTCAAGGCACTTGCTTGGTCTTTTGGGTTTGTTCTTGGGAGACAGAAAACCAGGTCGCGAGGCTACTGACCTCAGTAGCAGTTGCTGCCAGAGCCCTCAAGACTAGCTCCTTGGCTATATGCCCTGAAGGGGCACACGTGTCCTCTTTGCTTCAGGTCAAAAGCTGCACTGCTCTCAAACCACAGCACGACAGAGACACACCCCTTCCCTTTCAGATATGGTGTGGCAATCGGCTCCTCCACCAGCATAATGGGACCTAGCATCCCCGCCAAGACTCGAGAGGTGCTTGTCAGCCACCTGGCATCTTACAACATGTGGGCCCTACAAGGTCTGTAAGGAGTTTCCTGGAGTGTGGAGTGCCACAGGAGCACTTTAGGGGGACTGTGAGTGTGGAGTCTGGCTGGCTCTGATGCTTCACACTGTACTCTAGGCCCACACCCTTCTAGCTGAAAGTTGGGTGTCACCTCTCCAGCATAAGTCAAGTTCAGGCCTTCATCTGGCCTGAATTCCAGTTACATGCCCATCTGTGAGCCAGAAGTGATTGGGGGTGGGGGTGGAGGATTGCTATGATTGGCTGGTTCAGGTCACATGTCCACCAGGTAAGCTCAGAGAGTGGGCCAGATGCCAGAGGGTTCTGGGATGCCTCCCCCTCCCAGCCCTTTCCACAAGTTACTCTGCTTAGGCTGCAGGACTCACAGGGATAGGCTGCAGCAACTTCCCTGTTTTGGGTTCTAACTTAGCTCATGTCCCCACAGGGATTGAGTTTGTAGTGACCCAGCTCAAGTCCATGGTGCTGACCTTGGGCCTGATTGACCGGCACTTGACAGTGGAGCAGGCTGTGCTGCTGTCACGTCTGGAGGAGGAATACCAGGTAAGGAGTGGCACCTCAGGTCCTGCCTTACCCTTTCCTGATTCAGGCCAACTAGCTAACCCAGCTGAGATATTTTTTGTCTGCACTTGGCTTTTATTACTTTTGTGTAATACAGAAACCAAATATAAGGACAAATGAAAGTATTGTCAAATAATAATAATAATAATAAAGTAGTAAGTGCTGCCTCTGTCTCAGCAGTGTGCTTGGGACTCTTCACACTGCCTCACTCCCCTCTCAGCAGCTCAGTCAAGTGGGGGCTGGGGCATAGGAGGAAATAGGAACTAGGTTGCACCTCTGTAGAATGTTCCAACCTGGGTTTGGAGCAAAGTCTGGATGACTCTAGGGACAAGACCTTCAGTCCCTGTTCAGAATATGGAGGTTAGTGGACAGATAGAGACTGGGCTTGATACACGTGCAGAACAGGCCCTGTTGAGATGACTGCCCCTGTTTGTGCTCTTAAGTTGGCTAAGTCTTCAGATCCTCTTCTTTTATCTGGCTGACCAGCTCACTGAGGAGCACAGGGGTAACTGCTGTCTGTACAGAGCTTTGATTTAGGAGGCTCAGAATGTAGGCTTTGTTTGTTACACCATCATTTATATTTTTAACTTTTGGCAGTCTTTGTAGTCTTGTTGCTGTTGTTCCTCCAACCTCAGGAGGTTAATTGCTATTAAGAGTTGGCTCTTAGTATGAGAAAAACTTGTTTCTAATGTCAGTATTTTCCAAGTCTATGTAGTCTTCTGATCAGAAAATGCCAGGGCAAAGCTGTCTGTGCACAGCACAGGTGGCTGGAAGGGTTGGGGGGCCACAGAATGAGGAGTGACTTAGATTAGGTGTGAAATGGTATAAAATGAAAGTATAAAGTGCTCTTCAGATGACATATTATGCTGCCCAGAAATGCAGATATTGTGTGAGGCATGGCTGATGCTGAACTCTTGGACCAGCTGCAGTGAAGCTTCCAGGGCTCCTGACCAGCGAGGAGCCAGCAGGGGTGGGCGGAGCTACGCTGACTTTGGGATGGCCACACTGTCTGGGGCTCCTCCCTCTTGGTTTTAGAGCCCAGGAAGGAGAATCTGCAGCCTGTCTTGAGACTGCAGCTCCCCCCTGCCCCTCCCAGGTAGAACTGAAACCACTTCATGGCCTTGCCTGATTTACCTATCCCATCCCCAGCAGCATAGGGGCTCTCACAGCCCAGCATGGTGAGGCCACGTACAGAGGATGGCAGTTTAGAGACTGCCTCATGCTGGCCTCCCCATGGGATAAAAGATGGGAGAAGTGACAGCACACAGATCATGCTTCCACAAAGGGGTACCATGCATGGTTTTGGTGCCAGCCTGACCAGCAGTGGGCAGCCTCTGGCCTGGGCCTGGACTACATTTTTCCCAGACCATCCCTATCCCAAGAGCATAAGCACCTGCTCTGGCTACCTGGATGTTCATACCTGCTGCCTCTCTTCCATGCACGTCCCACATGTCTTGGCAAGATCTGAGGCTACTTCTCTTGGTCCAGCTACTGGGGTGGAGGTGGCTTTGGCCAGTAAGTAGCTGAGCATTGGCCACTCACCAGCAGCTTGTCTTATCCTCCCCTCAGATCCAGAAGTGGGGCAACATTGAGTGGGCCCATGACTACGAGCTGCAGGAGCTGAGGGCCCGAACCGCCGCCGGTACCCTCTTTGTCCATCTGTGCTCTGAGAGCACCACAGTCAAGCACAAGCTCCTGCAGGAGTGAGGCCTAGGCAGCACCTGCCACCAGGACAGAAGCTGTACACCCACAGTGCCTCCCACCTGGTGGGCTCTCCTGCCTGTGAGGCCCCTCACTGTGGGGCTCTTCTGACCTGCAGAGCTCCCTGGCCTTTGGGGCTCAGGCTCGCTCAGCATCACCCTGCCCAGAGGTCAGCCTGATTCCAAGCCAGGTGCCCTCAGCTGGCCAGCAGTGAGTGAAGGTGATGAGTTGTACAAGTGACTTTCTCTTGACTCTGATTTTATTAAATATTTATCTGCCCTCAAAATGTGTCAAGCCCTGTTTTCACGAGTGCCTTTGTGTTTCCCCATTCTTGTTCTGTCTAGGATGCACCAAGGTTAAACATTGTATCTCCCATGGCACGTTATCTACTGCCTGTGGTTGGGAACCTCACACTGGGGCAGCAGTTGTGTCACCCACAGATAACTCTATTGTGTCCTTGAGCCCTCAGCCTGAAGGCTGTTTTTTTTTTTTTTTTTTGCTAGTTTTTAATCAAATAATCATAAAAGTGAATCTAAGCTGGTTGTTTCTATTTTGTTCCTACTGTTCTAGAAAAAGTGATTTACTCTTGAAAATAGAAAATATAGTCATTTCTGGGTTAAAAGTCCAGACAGGCTTGGCAGTCACCTAACTGCATGTGTCTACTCTCCTTCCACATGGGAATCCTGAGAGTCCTTCCAACGCAGCCACTGTGACAGTCCTAAGGGATAAGCACCTGCTTCCTGCCAGTAACAGGGCAAGAAGGAGAGTGTAGCTCTCAGGAAGCAAAGGCTCCCTGAGTCCTGTGTCCATATACACCTGAGTAACAGCGCAGCCTCAGCCTGTTCATGGGGCTCTGACCACATGCTAGGTGCCTCTGTGCTTTCTATACACTGTCTCCATGAACCTTTTGATGTCACTCTGAGGAGGTACTGTCACACATGAAGGCCAGGTTGCAGAGATGACATGGAGCTGGGATGCCCAGCCTGCAATCTTCACTTCTAGAGGGTCCTCAAGTCCCTTCAGCCAAGCTTTGAGTGAAGGGAGATGTGGCCTCTGCTTTGGTGGGCAGGCCCAGGCCCCAGCACTGTGGTGCAAGCCACAGCCTATCTTGCTTCCTGGCTCCTCTCAAGGAGGGCCAGCCCCTGCCTGGCAGCTGCCACCTACTCTGACATGGCACCTCAGAGGAAATGATGCTGGCATACTTCTGACTTTATGCCACAGCCAAGAGCCTAGTTGACTGCCAGCTTCCTTGGGAGTCGCTCTTGCAGACAGGCCAAGGACCTGCTGTTCATCTCATCTTTCTCCTCTTCATACATGAACATGAGTTTTGATTTTTTAAAAAAGAATACAGGAAAGGTAACATGGGTCCTTTATTTTTTTCTACATTTGGAAGTTTTTCCAAGGGTAGGGGAAGAAAGGTGTTAGGGGAGTTATGGGTTGAGAAATTCCCAGTTAACTGTCTCCTGGGGCTGTTGGTGAGTATACATTTTCTCCTCCTGGTTGGGGCTGGTGCTGTGTTTTGAAAGGGACCCCGTGGCTAGTAGCAGCTAGTCCAGGATGTCACCACATTCCAGGTTGTCTAGTTCGCTCTGCGTGTGGTCAATGTACTGACTGATCTCCTTCACTCGCTCGCGGTTCCTTGTGGTCTCATCCCTGTGAATCTGAGGGGTGAGACCCAAGCCCACCATTTTTAAATCAGATGTCTGCTTAGTATCTTCCACCAAATCCAGATTGAAGGAAAGGAAAATAGTTTGTTGTTCTTTTTTTTGAGACAGAGTCTCATTATGTTGCCCTCGGTAGAGTGCTGTGGCATCACAGCTCACAGCAACCTCAAACTCTTGGGCTTAAGGGATTCTTCTACCTCAGCCTTCCAAGTAGCTGGGACTACAGGCACCCACCATAACACCTGGCTATTTTTTGTTGTTGTTGCAGTTGCCATTGTTTAGCTGTCCTGGGCTGGGTTTGAACCCACCACCCTCAGTGTATGTGGCTGGCGCTGTAACCACTGTGCTACAGGTGCCAAGCCAGGAAAATAGTTCTTTGAGATTTGCGTGTTCTCTCACTGCCAAGCCTCCCTGGGTTCTGCTGATCTCAATATATTTGAGGTAGGAGTTTGAGAAATGATGAAGCATATGGATTTTGTAATCTCTGGGCAACATTAAGTCTTCAGTGTGGAATGCTACAATCCTTAATTTTATTTGTTCACTCCTTATTGGAAGTACTGTACATTACCCAGGGAAGATTTCCGCCTTCTCGAAGGATGGTAGCAGGAAACACTGGGACAACCTGCCAGGATAGGTTAGCATTACTCACCTTGTCTACCAACTGTGTACACCAAGAGTTGATCCTAGTCACCAGCTCATCTTCTCGATTGTCAATCTTCAGTAAGTGGATGTCATGTGATGCCCCAACAGCGTTAATAATTGTATCTTTGTCCACAAAAAGCTGGTGAGTGAAAAGGATCAAATGGGATTGTGCATGTCTTTACACCCTGGGCACAAAAGTTGGAGAGCTGAATAGAAAAGGAGCACGGGGGCGCCCCCTGGCTGTGCTGGCCATGCCGCCCATGTCCAGTGGACAGCCCACTTTCTACTAGTGCCCCTATGCCAGCTCATCTTCAGGTGACAACTGCCTTCCCAACCCAAACTCTGGCAAATGTGGGGAAAGGGCCAGCCAGGGTCCTTGCTGTCCTCATTGGGAGCATGTTTCCTCTAGAAGGCAGAGGCTGCCCAGGGTGACCTCACTCAGGACATCTGTTCTCACAGTGCTTCTGTTGGCTGCTCAAGTCTGGCTGCCCCAAACCTCTACCAGCTGAGTTGATGTGTAGGGCTGGCCAAGGGTCTGGAAGCTGCTCTGAGGACCAGTGAGCCCTGCAGACCAATGGTGTTCACCACACTGTTGTTTCTCTATTGCCTTTTATGGATTCCAGGTCAGGCACTGTGGCTCACACCTGTAATCCTAACACTGAAAGGCTGAGGCTGGGGGATAGTTCGAGCTCAGGAGTTTGAGACCAGCCTGAGTAAGAGTAAGACCCTATCTCTACTAAAAAGAGAAAAAGTAGCCAGGTGTGATGGTGGGTGCCTATAGTCCCAGCTACTCAGGAGGATCACTCCAGCCCAAGAGTTTGAAGTTGCTGTGACCTTAGATGCCATCGTGCTCTACCCAGGGTAAAAGAGTGAGACTGTCTCATAAACAAAAACCTTGGATTCCATTTGGGGTCTCCTGCCTTCTTTTGTTCCTGATCTTATTTGTTACCTTGTAAAAAGCTGTTAAAAACAACCACCTTCTAATAGGCTTGTCTGTTCTGGCTGTTGACACTGTGGCGGTTGTGTGCCTTGAATGGTTGAAAATTGAGTGGAATCATTCCCAGAGCAGAGGAGGGCACTGAAGCTCTTGGTAAGCAGCTGCTTCCACCTTGAAGCAAAGGGACTTTGTAATTTTCAAGGACAACAAAGGGCCTGAATTCTCTGTATTATAGAGAAGACTGCAAGTGGAATGTAAACTTTTTTTTTCTTTTCTATTAGTAGTAAACTTAATGGTCTCCAAAATATATTCTGTGGAATCTTGAGATCTTAATATATTTACTGGAAAAAAAAATATTGTTTGGTCACATACAATGTGGGAAATTCAGCACCCCCTGAAGATTGATAGGGCACATAAAGTATTCTGGAGGTGTTGCCACATCCTTTGGAAAATAAACCTTTTAAACTTGTCTCTCTTGATTTTCTAACATACTTGTCCACAGACGTCTCAGAGTAATGCTTGTTAATGTCTTGTGGGACACTGGTTTTCCACAGGATTCCATGTGGGAAAAGCCAAGTTAGCTCATGTGGGGAAAGGGGTGTCTGGGGGACCAATTAATATAGTCACATGGAAGACATGACAAGAAGTTATTAGTAATAAATTCTTTCCCTGCTTTCCCTGTGCATGCACGCTCCCAGGCCAGGCCCTGGAACAGTTCACAGATGTGCAAAGCCAGCTTTCTGTGAGCCTGTGCTGAGGAGAGTGTGGGTGTCTCGGTTCCTTTAGAAATGGCTAAAATCACACCATTCTAAAAAGTGGGTCATGGCTGATAGCTTAAGCCAGGCAGAGAAATCATCCCCCTCAGAGTTTGAATATACAGAAAATAGCTTTGGAGGATGATGACAGAATCTGAAGTCTGCTTAGAAATGTACAGGATCAGGGCTGTGCCTGTGGCTCAGTGGGTAGGGCGCTGGCCCCATATACTGAGAGTGGCAGGTTCAAACCTGGCCCTGGCCAAACTGCAACAAAAAATAGCCGATTACTATGGTGGGCACCCGTAGTCCCAGCTACTCGGGAGGCTGAGGCAAGAGCCTAAGCCTAAGCCTAAGCCCAAGAGCTGGAGGTTGCTGTGAGTTGTGTGACGCCACGGCACTCTACTGAGGGCGACAAAGACAGACTCTTGTCTCTAAAAAAAAAAAAACTTATAAAAAAGAAAGAAATGTACAGGATTAGAATTGGTTCAGGAAAACTGGGTGGCATTTGTAAAATATAAACAAAAGGAATCCAGTTTAAAGAAATTAATTAGGCTCAGCGCCTATAGCTCAACCGGCTGGGGCGC